CTTCTTCTTCTTCTTCTTCTTCTTCTTCTTCTTCTTCTTCTTCTTCTTCTTCTTCTTCTTCTTCTTCTTCTGCTCCTCCTCCTCTATTGGGTTTTTTTGCCTAAAAGAAAAGAGGGGGTGAAACTAAACCAACCAAGCAAAAACCTCCAAAGGAAGTTTAGAAAATTTATTGAAGGCCAAAAGTTAAAAACATAGGTTAGACAAAAGAGTGTTTATTTCAAAAACATATAAAAACCTTGTAGGGGCCCAAGTGAAGCCTCATAAAATATTAAAAGTGAAAAATGCACAAAAAGAAACAGTGTATGACCTGACATGTTTGGACTCAAGAGAGCCTGCTTCAGACCGTCAAATACTACAAAGTACAAAATACACCAAGCAACAAAGTCCCTGTAACACATGTAAGGCAATAAACAATTAATAACATAGGACCGAAAATGGAACGTTTTGATATGGAATTGAATGACACACCAAAAGATTTCTGTTTGGGGCCACAAATATATCTGGCCTTGTGTCGGAAGTAGTTGTATATACTGGAAATGATATCAGTACCAGTATGTACCATCCAGTTTAGGTCCTAAGAGTGCAAGTAAAATTGCCTTATCAGGGACAATGTGACATCAATAAGTAACAGTCGTCTTGGTCCTTTGCTTTCTGTTGTTAGCTTCGTAGATCTGTTTGGAATTGTGTAAGCACATGGGACCATTCTGATGCATGATTTCTGTTACATGCAGGGTTCTTTTTGTAGAAAAAGCCCAGCAGGAACTCATTAGCATAATAGGCCACACCCAACAGCAGGAACTCATTAGCATATTGGGCCACACCCCTGACAGCACAGCTCATTAGCACATTAGGCAACACCCACATGTTACCAGAAGTGTGGTCATCCAGCCACACCCACCTTTTGCTTGTTATTCTGTTTACCTTGTTTGTTGTCAAAACCCAGGGCCTTTTTTTGTAGCAGGAACTCCTTTGCATGTTAGGCCACACACCCCTAATGTAGCCAATCCTAATGAGTTCCTGCTGTTGGGTGTGGCCTATTATGCTAATGGATTCCTGCTGGGTTCCTGCTGGGCGTGGCCAACTTGGGAGCCAGCCGGAACTCCGTTCCTGTGCGTTCCTGCCCCAAAATAGCCCTGGTTACATGTATAAATGACATAATCATTTATCCATTTCGTATATGAAGAAGGCCTATTTGTTGACACAGAGAACATTGTAAAATGTATTAAGAAAACCCAGCTGGGCCTTAAAGACTCTTTTTGTGTGATGACGGAGCATAAGCTCCTTCACCAGATGCTAGTGGAACTGTCATGCTAGAGAGTCACCCGGGCGCATTGGTTAAAGCGTCCAGAGATCGAGGTTCAGCTCCTGTTCAGTCATGTATCTTGCTGGGTGAGCTTGAGCCATTCGTGCTCATTTGCTAGCTTGTAGCGTGGAATCTGGGTCTGCCGCACTCGTCAAAACTGAAAACTTCACAAGCACCGCTGACACAGGAGAGCTCTTCCCCTTCTGACGTTAAAGGGTTCCTCTTCTGATCTATTTTTTAGCAACTGAGCTCTAGATATTGGAGAACAAGGCCTTGCCTTGGGGCAGCCAACTCGCCTGGCCTAGCCAGAGGGCATATCGGAGAGCAACTGCAAAGCAATCAAATGCCCGTTTACCAAAGAGCAGGCTCTGTTGGACCCCATGGAACTGAGGCAACGAATACGGGAGTCTGCCGTGAAGACTCACAACCAGGGCTATTTTGGGGCAGGAACGCACAGGAACGGAGTCCCGACTGGCTCCCGAGTTGGCCACGCCCAGCAGGAACTCATTAGCATAATAGGCCACACCCAACAGCAGAAACTCATTAGGATTGGCTACATTAGGGGAGTGTGGCCTAACATGCAAAGGAGTTCCTGCTACAAAAAAAGGCCCGTGGTTTTGACAACAAACAAGGTAAACAGAATAAGAAGGGAAAGGTGGGTGTGGCTGGATGACCACACTTCTGGTAACATGAGGGTGTGGCCTAATGTGCTAATGATTGGTGCTGTCAGGGTGTGGCCTAATATGCTAATAAGTTTTGCTGTTGGATGTGGCCTATTATGCCAATAAGTTCCTGGTGGGCTTTTTCTACAAAAAGAGCCCTGCTCACAACCATATTGCAGTCACGAATTCCTGATGAGAGCTCCATTTAAAAGCACCCGGGGGGGAGATCTGGATCAGGAGACCATGGTACAGGAGGGGCTCTGGCCTTCCCCCGGTGCCCTTTTCCCAAGCCGAAATAGCACGGGGAGGGTGCCATTTCAGCTTGGGGAAAGGATGCAAGGGGAGGCAGGAGACCCTCCTCTCCCTGGACCGTGGTCCCGATCCAAATGCCACCCACCCTCGCAATGCTTTTAAATAGAGTTCCCATTGGGAACGCGGAAGTACAATATGGCAGACCCACATATATGCTGCACCTGGACTTGGGCTACTGTGTGACAGGGACTGGATGCACCACTGGCCTGATCCAACACGGCTTCCCTGATGTTCTTATGTAACATGTTGTTTGGCCCTTGCCTCCAAGTAGCATGCCCAGGATCTGGTTGAATGAAGGTCAGAGAGAAGAGGGGCACGTTCCAAGCAATACTAGGAACAGGGAGGATCTTTTTGTGATTTCAATAAAAAGAATGCAGGCTGCTTGGACTTTAAGCCATAGTTCTGTCAGAGTTGTTCTCTCAAGGGCAGTCCTCGAAAGAGCTCTCTCAGCCCCGCCTACCTCACAGGGTGTCTGTTGTGGGGAGGGGAAGGGAAGGGAGTTTGTAAGCTGCTCTTCCTTCAGGAAGGAGGAGGAGATTGGATTTATACCCCACCCTTCACTACCCAAGGGAATCTCAGAGCGGCTTACAAACTCCTTCCCCTCCCCATAACAGACACCCTGTGAGGTAGGCGGGGCTGAGAGAGCTCTGACAGAAATTGCTCTTTTTCAGAACTACAGCTTGCCCAAGGTCATCCAGCAGGTGCAAGTGGAGGAGTGGGGAATCAAACCCGGTTCTCCCAGATTAGAGTCCATACACTTAACCACTGCACCAAACTGGTAGTGAAGGGTGGGGTATAAATCCAATCTCCTCCTCTTCTTCTTCATCATCCAAGGAGGGGTCTTGCCCCATCTCTCATGTGCATGCTGGCCTGAAGCTATGGTGAGGCTATTCGGGGCTCTGCCCCCTTTCTTAAAGGGCCAGCCCCACATGATTTCTTACTGGTAACCCCTTTTTTTGCCCTTTTAAAACAAGGACTGGAGGGTGGAATTTTATGCCCTGCAAGTGTTGTATGCATGAGGAGGACTTGTATGCATAAGGAGCCCCCTTAAAAAATTTTAAGCCCCCCTGAAAAAAATCCTAGCTACAGGCTGGTGTGCATGTATCATATCCAAAAACAATTTATTCCTCCCCCCCCCCATAGGCTTCGTCATTTTCGTCATCTGCAAATTCCATTACGATTCAATTAAAGTTAAAATTTTGCTCATGGTTCAATTCAGTCCTTTGCGAATTTCGTTCATGATTCAACTAAAGCTCGGACAACTAGTTGGCTGGATGGAGCGATAGCCCTGCATTTCTCTCCTGAACAATCTGTGTGCTCTAGTCTGCAATCTGGTGCGCGTGGTCTCTTGAAGTCTGGATAACCGGCCCATTTCCCTGCTCCTTCCTTCCCTGACGAATAGTTACCATCACTGCCACTTTGAAGCTACCCCAGCCGGCTGGGTTCCGACGCTGCTGTCTGCTGTGCCTGTTTAAACTACCTGGCCCTCTTGCCCCTATCCTGCTGTGCCACGATATCTTTTCCTCTTTGTGCCATCTTTGCCAAGATGACAGCAAGTGGCTTGAAAATTAAATATTCGCTCTGTCCTCAGCTCCTGAAACAGATAAATGCCCCTTGCTGTTCTCTCTGAAAAGCTTGAAATTCAACAATCGCCTTTGTTCCAAGCTGCAGTGCAGCAAATTGCAAACAACTGAATGCAGTATTGTGCGGTGCAGTTTGTTTTATGATTAGGCATGAATGAGGTGGTAGTGGCTTCTCCCCTCCCATGGTGAATTTGGGCCCAGTTGTTTTGACGTAATGAAGTGTAAATTTATGGTGAAGCCCCGTGGTGATTTCAAGCAGTCTCGTAACTTCTGATGGTACTGGTCCATTTTCTTCTTTTCTGACGTAAAACTGGAGGTACGCTTACACTGTACTCCCCTGACACCCACAAAGATTAATTTAAGAGTGCAAGACGTCATGTCAAGGAGCTCATCCCGTTTCTCTGCATGAGACACTTTTCTGAGCAGTAACTCACCCAGAGATACAGCGAGCAACTTCCTCTGATGGTGTCTGATGGTGGAACAGAGCTAAACTGAAAGAGACGGCTCAGTTAACTATTTTGTGATATACAGGGCTTTTTTTGTAGAAAAAGCCCAGCAGGAACTCATTAGCATAATAGGCCACACCCAACAACAGAAACTCATTAGCATATTAGGCCACACCCCTGACACCACAGCTCATTAGCATATTAGGCCACACACCCATGTTACCAGAAGTGTGGTCATCCAGCCACGCCCACCTTTTGCTTCTTATTCTGTTGACCTTGTTTGTGGTCAAAACCCAGGGCCTTTTTTTGTAGCAGGAACTCCTTCGCATGTTAGGCCACACACCCCTAATGTAGCCAATCCTAATGAGTTTCTGCTGTTGGGTGTGGCCTATTATGCTAATGAGCTCCTGCTGGGCGTGGCCAACTTGGGAGCCAGCCGGGACTCCGTTCCTGTGCGTTCCTGCCCAAAAATAGCCCTGTATAGTTGAAAACGGTTAAAAATTATCAATATTATTTGACTTAAGGATAGTGGATAGGTATCTCAATATTTGATTATTGTGTATGATTGTATTTCTGTGCATGATACGGAGTTTGTAACCTGGGATTCTTTTAAAAGAGAAAATTGATCAGTGGCAATTGGATGGGGTTTGCTACCAAAGCTTATGTCCTTCCCTTTTTCTCTCTCTCCTTTTAGGAAGCCATCCTGAGCTCCTGGATCCAGTTCAGCGATGGCTCTGTGACTCCGCTGGACATTTACGATCCCAAAGACTTTTCCCTCTCTGCTTCATCACTGGACGAATCTGTCGTTTCAGCCCACCTGAGTTCTACTACAAAATGGCCAGTGGTGGCAGCAGAAGGTGAAGGACAAGGCATGTTGGTCAAAGTGGACATGATGATCTCTGAAGCTTGCCAGAAGTCCAAGAGGAAGAGTGTCCTGGCAGTGGGCAGCGGCAGCATCAAGGTGAAGTTCGGCCAGAATGATGCCAATGCCCATGGCGTCAGTGATTACGACGCCGATGAGATCGAAAACCACGCAAGCGACCGGAGGCAGAAGGTGTTGGACCAAGAGCGGTATGGCCAAGATGGGCGATACTACGGGAGTTCTTCTGCCGAACGAGAAGACGGTGCCGCACGGAAAGTCAGCACCACGGCAAAATCTATGATCAAAGGCAAAGTACTGAAGAGCAACCTGGCTGGAGACAAGCTCTCCGACGATGGGCAGCTGCAGAACATCCCCATAGACTTCACCAACTTTCCAGCCCAGATCGACCTCCCCAAGAACGATGGCAGTATGGACGACAGTGACCTTGTGCAGGCCCCTAGGGGACTCAGTGACCTGGAGATTGGGATGTATGCTCTCTTAGGGGTCTTCTGCCTGGCGATTCTCGTCTTCCTGATAAACTGTGCCACCTTCACGTTGAAATATCGGCACAAGCAAGTTCCGGTGGAAGGGCAGGCCACCATGAGCCACTCCCACGACTGGGTGTGGCTTGGGAACGAAACCGAACTGCTGGAGAACCAAGTGGACATTTCGCCCCCGCAGGACGAACGCACGACAAACGTCGACCGGGGGATAGGCTCGGAGGAGAGCAACCAGCTCCTCAACGGGAGCATGCCGAAGAGTATCCAGAGCCAACTGCACAAGTCTGCTGACTCGGGGGGCAAGCAAGGGAAGGAGCAGAAGCTCAACCCCCCCTTGCACTCGCCCACCTCCAAGCGAAAGCGGGTCAAGTTCACCACGTTCACCACGATCCCTCCGGACGACAGCTGTCCAACCATCAACTCCATCCTCAGCTGCAACGAAGATGACATTAAATGGGTTTGCCAAGATATGGATCTCGGGGAAACCAAACACTACATGGAGAAGATCAAAGAGAAAGCATAGCCCCGGATCTTGGGTCGCTTTGGGGGGGGGGGTTGCAAACCACACCTTGATGCCTTCAGTCGTATCAGGACATGGAAAAGAGGACGGCGGGCTGGGGGACTGAATAGTCTTGGAAGCAAGGTGGATTTTGTAATCAGGGAGAGAGGTTTGCTCAGCCTGTCTGTGGAGGGGCGACAGTCCTTTTTTTTTCTCTTTTCCACCCACCCCCCAGATGACACGTTTCTGTTGGAGGAAGAAGAAGAAATGAACTGGCCCATATAATGAACTCGGGATGAGATGAGGTTTTTGAAACGGACAGTTAAGGGGCAAAGATAGTTAGACACGAGGTACCAAAAGTATTCTTTCTTTCTTTTCTTTTCTTTTTTTAAAAAGGAAAATTATCAGTTTTTTTTAAAAAAGGAAACTTGTTTATATTTTTAATAAAACTTCAAAAAATATGAATGGGACCTGGGAAGAAAAAGGGCGGAGTACGAATCACCCGTCTGCTTTCCATTCCTGCGGCTGGAATGAGGACAGGACGGTTGGCGGAGCAGAGATGGAATAGCATTTGGGTTTTTCCCCCCAGTTTCTTTCCTCCCCCCCACCCCCAGAAATCCTGAAGCTTGATCCTTCCTACATCCTCTCTCTCTCTCTCTCCACCGCTCTGCCTTTTATACGTTACTTCTGACGCATGCCAATGGGGATTTTAAAAAAATTTCAAATCCTATCGGTTCTCTCCAGACCAACTCATCATCGTCATCGTCATCCCCCCCTAAATCGGTAGTGCATCATATTGTCCTTTTAAGAACTCGGTGGATTTGCAACAAATTAATAACTTCAATATGTTGTCCATTTCAAATCAATGAATTTCAGCTCGATCAGGGCTGGAGCCGACCCCTGAAATGACTGTTATTCCCTCTCCCTGACCCTGCACGCTCAGGTGATTCTGCCGAATTTTAATCAACGTTGTAGGGGGTTTTCTTCTAATTGTCCATGTTTTGGGGGGGGGGAGATCGATGCGATTCTGTGTGTATTTTGTTTACCTCCAATTGTATTTTCTCATGCCCGTTCTGAACGAGCGAAGTTCCACTGCCGATCTGACTCCCGTACTTCCGAGAAAGACCCGATCATTCATTCCTCAACCTGATACGACTCCCTGGTCAATGACCTCATTCCCTTCGAGCCCATGTGCACCGTATTCGTGAAGCATGCACTGTTGGGCCATGCAGCTTTACTGTCGACTCAAGAAAGGGATGGAGAGCCCCAGGCCTTCTTCGAACCTCAGCTTCTCTCTGAGAAGGTGCCATCTCCACGCTGCCATCCCTCATTAAGGCCACTGCCGCCGGTTGAACAAGGGGCTCCTTTCTCAAACCTGACCTCCCATTTCCCGAGTTGCTCAAGGCCACAAATCCTCTTTCCATGTCGGTAAGGAAGAGTTTTGCTCCTCCTGACCCAATGAGGAGGAGGTGTTGCTCCCAAACTCAACTGGGGGGGGGGAGAAATCTCTTGGCATCTCCTCTTAACTTTGGGACCCGCCTTTGGAAGCGGGAGGAGGGGCTCGGCTCCTATAAACACATGAAACTGCCTTATACTGAATCAGACCCGTGGTCCATCATAGTCAGTATTGTCTACTCAGACTGGCAGTGGCTCTCCAGGGTCTCAGGCAGAGGTCTTTCACATCACCTCCTGCCAGATCTTTTAACTGGAGATGCCTGGGATTGAACCTGGGACCTTCTGCATGCCAAGCAGATGCTCTACCACTGAGCCACAGGTGCTGCTAACTTAGGAATGACCCTGTTCACTTAGGAAGGACCCTGCCGGTGGAGTCTGGACCATCTTTTCAGGAGGTTGCCCCCTGCCATGTGGTCCCAAGTGCCGAATGTGTTTTTCCCCCCGTATGAATCCATAGCAGCTGCTCCCTTCTGCAAGGAACGGCTGCCAAATGCTGGAATAGGATAGGCATCAAACTACAAATCGCGATGGAATCGCCAGGAACCCACTGAATTATCTTAGTCAAGCCCCCACCCCGCTCTCAGCCTCACACTGCTGTCTGCAGTGTGGGGGTAATCATGCTCGCCTACCTTGCAGGGTTGTTGTGGGGATTACTTCAAGATAATGATAGCTGCATTGAAGGTACTGTACGAAATGCTAGGTGCTACGTATGGGACAAAGCTCAGAGATGCCTCATTGGCTCAAGGGCTGAACTCGCTCCCTGAAGACTCTGGCCACCACATATCACACCTCCTGTCTGCCTACTCCGCTCCTTCAACAACCTGGCCTTATCTTGGCTTTTGGATTTGAGGACATGGTGCATTAGCTTTCCCGTATATAAATTCTTCCCGTAGCATGGAGGCTGGGCTAGGTCGGCCTTCAGAATAGTTTTTGCTGATCCATTGCCGTCAAATCCAGACATCGGTTATCCAGTAGCTAGGTAAAAGAATATGTTAGGGGGATTTTAGGGGGAGAATTTTTTTAGTTTAATTTCCATGACCAAAGTACCCCTGGGCTATGTCACGCCTTTTGTTTACGGTGTTCTCTCTCTCCCTTTCCTCCCACTGTTTCCTGACCTCCGCACAGATAAAAGGAAGTGTTTCTTCACCCAAAGAGTGATTAACACATGGAATTCACTGCCGCAGGAAGTGGTGGCAGCTACAAGCATGGACGGCTTCAACAGGGGGCTGGGGAAACATAAGGAGCAGAGGTCCATCGGTGGCTATTATTATCCCGTAGTGAGAGCAGTGCTCCCTCTAAGCAGAGCTTAGTCTTGTGAGCAAAAATTCTACTTTGTGAGCTACTGGCATTAAAGTTGTGAGCGAGCGATTTGGCTGCCGCCTTAATTTAGTTTCCTGAGCTAAGACAAAAATATGTGTGAGCCAGAGGCTAAAAGGCTGTGAGCTAGCTCACACTAACTCAGCTGCGAGGGAACGCTGAGTGAAGAGACTCCCCAAGTTCTCCTCGAGGCCTGTTTGACCCATCGCCAAACAAACGACTCTCAGGTTTCCAGCCCTGGGGTGATGCCAGCGAGTCCCCCTTGAGCCTGCTTGGCGGTTACGATACGCTGCGATCTCCACTGGGTTGAGGGGCTGATTTGGAGAGACCATCCCGGGATCCAATTCAGAGCCTCCTGGTTGATGCGCAGACAATATTTGTGGTGGGGCAACGGAAGGGCCCCGAGGAAGAAAAGATGTTGTCCTCCCAGTCCTGCCTTCCAGGCAGTGGGTTTGGGTTCTTCTTAACCTGGGTGGAACCGTGTCTGAGTCAGAATTGGGCCTCACCTGGACAACAATCCAAATTTGGACTGATCCCTGTGTCCCCTTAGTCCCTCTCAGTTCCCATGTCCCCCTTCTAGGTTTTTTGCTTGCCAGCTGGCTGACGTTCCTTCTGCTTTCCGTGTCCGCCTGCTCCACCCGAGGCTCATTCCTATGCTTCTCTGCCTGCTTATGTGCATACATTTCCCCAGGGCTTTCTTTGTAGAAAAAGCTTAGCAGGAACTCATTAGCATAATAGGCCACACCCAACAACAGAAATTCATTAGCCTATCCAGCCACACCCCTGAGAGCAGAGCTCATTAGCATATTAGGCCGCACCCCCATGTTACCAGAAGTGTGGTCATCCAGCCACACCCACCTTTTGCTTCTTACTCTTTTTACCTTGTTTGTTGTCAAAACCCAGGGCTTTTTTTTTTAGCAGGAACTCCTTTGCATGTTAGGCCACACACCCCTAATGTAGCCAGTCCTAATGAGTGTCTGTTGTTGGGTGTGGCCTATTATGCTAATGAGTTCCTGCTGGGCGTGGCCAACTTGGGAGCCAGCCGGAACTCCGTTCCTGTGCGTTCCTGCCCAAAAATAGCCCTGCACTTCCCTATTTGCATACAGCATTTGCATACATTTGCATACATTTCCCTAACTGGCATGATTCATGCCACTCCTGATGATCACAGGGAGAGGGAGGAGCTATGTCTGGAATCGGTGCAACCTGACCGCCAGGTGGCTAGCTCGTTTCTCTTAGGGTTCCCAACCTCCAGGTGGGGGCTGGAGTTCTCTTGGGATTGCAACGGCAGAGATCAGTTTCTCCTGCACTTCCCTATTTGCATACAGCATTTGCATACATTTGCATACATTTCCCTAACTGGCATGATTCATGCCACTCCTGATGATCACAGGGAGAGGGAGGAGCTATGTCTGGAATCGGTGCAACCTGACCGCCAGGTGGCTAGCTCGTTTCTCTTAGGGTTCCCAACCTCCAGGTGGGGGCTGGAGTTCTCTTGGGATTGCAACGGCAGAGATAAGTTTCTCTGGGGAAAATGGTTGCTTTGGGTAGACTCGGTGGCATTATACCTCCCCAGTCTCCCCCTCTCCCCCCCCCCAAAGAAATCTCCCAAGTATTTGTCAGCCCAGACCTGGCAATCTAGTCCTCTGCTGAGATTTCACTGGCCATTTCTCATGCTGTTTTAAGCCTACTCTTGAGGGCCGGCACTTTGACTTTTGCTTTAAAAAAAGAACATGAAGGGGGGGGTTGGTTTATTATTGCAGTCTTGAGACCAAAGTGCAGAGTAAGCATTGGATACATTACATATACAAAGTACAAAAAAATAGAAATCTAAATTTAAGGACTTTTAAAATGTGATTCCCACAGTCTAAGAATCAATGCACAGAACTCAGCAACGGAACCTGTCATTTCTGTACATGAAGAGGTTGAATTCTGTATCCATGCCTGTGAGGAGGAATAATCATTGCACTGTGAACCTAAGAGCGTAAGAGAAGCCCTGTTGGGTGAGGCCAATGGCCCGTCCAGTCCAACATTCTGTTTCACACAGTGACCAAAAGTACCAGGCACCACCAGGAGGTCCACCAGCGGGGCCAGGACATTAGAAGCCCTCCCAATGTTGCCCCCCCCCCAGCACCAAGAAGACAGAGCATCACTTGCCCCAGATCGAGAGTTCCATCTATACCTTGTGGCTAACAGCTCTGTATGTTTCTCCAGTCCCTTCTTGAAGCTGTCTATGCTTGTAGCTGCCACCA